TTGACACTAGCCCCATAATTTAGAGCACAAAGCTTTTCTCCTCAGGCCTACTGGTTGTCTTTGTCAAAAATGAAATTGAGGAATTTGATTTGACAATCCTTAACCTCTGAAAAGCATAATTCAATATTCTGATATGCTTTTTTCCGAAAAAAAATTTACGCAAGCCTACTTATACTACTTTAAGCCAATATTCTGATTAGCCAATAGTCATGAGGCAGTTTTCTGTTGGTTGGCTTCGGCATCAGTTCTTAATAATTCGCGGTTAATGATTCGCGCCTTTTTCCATCAATTAAAAGGAGCTTACAATTCCTGCGCAAACCTAAATGATAGGCTAGAATATTTTGCAACTTCTGCTAACTACAAATTATTACTTCTATTTTCTCTTTTGGTCTCTACCTTATTTATTTTAGGTGCATTTTTTTATTTTCAGACGTCTCTGTCAGAAAAAAACTTGAAAAATATCTTAAATCATTACTAAACAAAATGCCTATTTCGCTAACCCTTTTTTCCTTTTTCAAAACCAAAATCACCATACAAATTTCGATAATCGCAAATGCATGTCTAAAGCGAAATTTTATTTGAGTTTGGCACAACGCTGGGAGTAGTCATCTTTTAAAGCAATTTTAAAATCGACTAGAATTTGCCTGACGAATTGCCATTTTAAGTGTAACTAACAACTAACTAACTAATCTGCCTAAAGCTCTGTTTCTTCATTTCGAATTGTCTTTATTCTCGGTGCAAACAGTCAGTAAAGTTTTGGAATTTGGTGATTTTTAAAAAGTACAAAATGGAATACCTCTGAGAGAAGAAACACCTTATTGGGACAAGTAAGTAGATGGCTATTTACAGCTGCCTTGGAGTTAACAAGCAGTATATAGATTAATAAATCGGTGCATAATGAGGAGATTCAGGTGGAAAGTCAGGCCCCCTGTATTCTGACGACTAAAAGAAAAACAAATATGCTCCATTTTTTGCCAATCCTTTGGCTAAAATTGAGCAGATTTGATGGCGGCTAGCAGGTTGTGGGTGGTTTTGAATCTTCCGAATATGTTGAAAACTTGGTGCTTTTTCTCGCCTTCGAAAAAGCTGGCTTTAGAAGAGCAATTATAGGAGAATTTTGGCTGAAAATAAATGTGCAAAATCGTGAAAGAAATGACACAAGTGACAGTTTTGTGGAGAAAGCAACACTCTAATCATAAAAGGGATGATGTAACAGGCAAATGCTCAAAAATTGGATAAAAGGAATCAAATGTTTGGTTTTTTTCACTGGGTTTCGAAAAAACGCTAGCAAATAGTGGCATAGCCTCGAAAGTAACTCAGTTCTTCAGTACAAAGGTAGAAATGCTATTTTGGCTTCCATTTGTTTATATTTTGAGTTTGGTGTCCTGCCTAGGCCTCGACAGGAATCAGCACGCACCTCCGCAGACAAGCATACTTAAAAGTCGATAGGAATTTTGCAACGCGATTCTCAATGAAGGTGTAGGAAAACCTCTGAAGTGGATTTGAGTGACATCTAACAATACCAACTACTCCCTACATTACCTTTTCTGGCCTTAGTTTAAATGAACAATGGCATAGAGTTAATAACCTCAGCATCCAAAAACTCATTATTTTGAATTACTTTAAAATTTTTATGCAAAATCAGCAATAGACGAAAGTGTCTACCGATTTATTTTGCAAATCGGATGCTATTAACACTTGGAAATGCCCAAAATATCAGCTTATTTACAGATTGCATAATCGAGGTGTTACAATTAATCACATCTTTACTGTGATTTCATTGGTGGACACTGTCTCTCCGTTGTGATTGGTCAGTGGGGTCTGGAGAGAGCCAATTGAAAACCTGCTTTATACCACAGACAGACGTGGAGCCACCAAACGGCAGCCACTACTTGAATTGTCCAACCGAATGGAGGTGCTGGCAATAGTTGTCGCAGAATGAGGATCAGTACTTTTTATTAGCACAAATTGTAACAAGAACGCCAATTTCAAAAATCAGGGCCTCCGAAACTGTAGTGGTACCTCAAAAGATCTTCGGTTTTACAGTGTACTAAAAAGTGACTGTAAATACTTACTCCCTTTATCCGTTGCACAATGGGCTTACTAAAATTTTCTTAAATATTTAAAAACGTTAGTGTTTGTTAAATAATTGGGAGAAGGCCTCAGATGCTGATTTCGTTGAACCGGCAGTTTGCATCACCTTTTCTATTCAGACAGCACTGACTAATACAATGCTTGCTTTTTTCCAAAAAAAAAAAAAAATCTGAGACCACACAGTCTGGCTGTCATCTGATAAGCAGGAAGAACAGTATCAATGATTGCAGACTCTACTTTTTTCAGCCCTGTTGTTGCCCAAATTGTGGAAAATATCAATTGAATTTCAAATTATTAAATTAAAATTAAAATTAATTAAATTAGATTAACGGAGTCAAAATATATTCCAGTTATTGCTGAGCAATTATTAATGAGTAGACAGGAAATTTATGCTTTTTTGGCACATTTGTGTTGTGTGCAATTATAATGCTTTGATTGTTCAACCCTCGGTTTTGGTAAAGGGGCTACTCTGGTGCTCCGCCATTACATTTCGGCCTATGGGCCGGGTCTTTAGACCTAAGTCCTGCTTTATGTTGGTAATGCACATCCCGCCAGAGTATTGTGCCCTCTCTTGTCTTCAGGGAAGTCTTGCTGTGCTACGTAATCTTGTACACTACCTTCTAGTCCTTCGGGAACGTTTAATGCAAAGTTGCGTCCAGATTCGCATTGCTGATATTACCTTCGTGGACAGTTAGGATGCTGTGCTTCGTATCACGGCAAAGGAATAAGCCACACATTACCACTTTCCTGAGACAATATGACGTGTAGCGTCCCGGGACTTCGCTAAAGACAAAAGAAGACATAATACTCGGGCAGAATGCATATTTTTAGTACATAGAAGGTATTTGGGCTACTGGCATTTCCTGAAGGCCAGCCTACCCGGAAGTCTGTAGGGAAATTTCTAGACGGTTCACGACTAGTGTCGCTTCAGTTGTTAATAGCTTTTCTGCAGAACACGGGACTGGGATAGATACGGAAGGCAGATGTTAGCTTCAATCCTTCTACTCAGGGCCATCATCATTCTCCCATCCGCATTATATGTACTTCTTCCGCTCCGCTGAGATTTATCATGCAGCAGAGGAAATCAGGATAGATGGCCTTTAGGATCAGGTTCGCTCTCCGCTGCCACCAATGTAGTGTCTTGAGACTTCTCTGAAGATAAGAGAAGCCATAATACTCAGGCAGAACATATATATTCAGCACGGAGGAGGCAATTATGCTATTAGTATGGTCTGAAGGCCAGCCCACCCGGTGTGGTACGAAGGCCAAGTCAAAAGTCGCTTCCCGCTAATACCGAGAGATAAACAACCATCGTAATACAGACGCCTTTCATAGACGTCAGTATCTACACCTTCGAGAATATTTAAATAAATTAATTTGACCGTAATTCGTCCAAAGGCAGGTGCATAATCACGTTGAGGATGGGGATCTACCCTTTGTCACGATTAACAAAGTGTTGCAACTTCAAGAAATTTCAAACAAAAAAGCTCCACCAACATACGGCAACCAAAGATTCTAATTTTCCTAAAAGACTGCCATCTTGTTGATCTTAAATTTTGAGGCATCCTATAAAAAACTACTTGGTTTGTATCCCACTGACTGACTGGCTGACTTATTAGAATGCCATCAGAAATGGCAATCGCATTTTGAAGCTCATTAAGCCGACAAATGTCTCATTTCCTAATCCCTCTTCCATTGAGACCTACCTACTCAATGAGGCGTGACTGAGACTTGTGTAAGAAGGACTTCTACTTGCGAGAAAAGAGGAAATGTATTGCCTGCTGGAGCATTCCATAGTACATTTGAGGGTAGGTGGAAGGGAGGAAGGGGCGATGGAGGGGGGGCATAATGCCCATCTTAATTATCATTCCCTCTGCTTTTTTTGTTGCCACTTCTGTAAGAGATGATTATCAACGTTTCCTGTCACCATTAGCTAATCACCTGGTCAAGGGAATAAACAGCCGGATAATGCAATTAACTTATAAATGGAATTGTCCAAAGCGCGTTTCCAATCTTCTGGACGGGAAAGGAAAGAAAAGGGGAAACTTTTAACTTTTTCTTTTAAAATTATCAGGATATGATATGGAACAGTGTTGAGTTTTTAGCCATGATTTCTACAGCATCTTTTGCATTGTCGACAGGCACGATGGTAAAACGGGAGTTTAACCACTTCAATTCAACAATTTTTGCTAGGCTGGGTGGCATTTTGAGGGAGAAGCGAAACGAAATGATTGTTCTATCAACCTGCACTACTTGATGAAAACAAACTCGTCTTTGAAGTGAGCGTCAGTGGGCATCGCGATTAATGTAGGAGACGCTCTTTCTGTCGAAGACACGCCTCAGTCAGTGATGTCATTACCTTGTGCTCACATCATTCCAATTCACTATGCTAGCGGATGACAGGACATAAGAAGGGGATGTACACACCTACCATTTGGGTACCGAAGTCGCTTCCCTTTTCACTCCTCCCTTCTTCCCCTCCTGCCTAGACTTTAGGCATTACTCGTCTGACTACAGTCGGCTAGTAATCAGGAGAGGCGCAAAAGATGACTGACTAAGTAATACGGGAGAGATGGTTCGATGGAGCCACTCCACGACGGTGGAATGAACCTCGTTGTCTACCCATCCTCCGGGCTATCTCCTGCCTTTTTACCTGGTTTGCCCAACTAGAGTATGTATGCTTGAAGAGTCGTTTTTAATGAATGTTGACCGAGGACCTTAAAAGTTGAGGGTCACTGCTATGCATGATAGCCTCACAGTTCTAATGAGCCGCTTTAAGCCACTCTTGGGACAGTGGAAGATACAAACAAATCATTCAATGGTAATAAACACAGTAGTGTCTGTGCTTGGTGCCAAAAGGCGGCTTGAATGTCAACTCGTTCCTTCAGTGACTGATCAGATTTGTCGGTTGAGTGATGAGTAACGTCAAGTCGTTGTTGTGGAAGAGGGAAGGTAGTGATTAAAAAAGCTCCAGTGGTGATCGACTGAGCCGCCTGAAATGCCTTCTTTTGACTTCCATGGATGGGTAAAATTTGTGAAGGTCTTAAAATGCATGCATTATACAGATTGGGTAGAAATGCCTATGTCTGCCAGCCTTGTGACACCCTTTCTTGTGACCTCCCCTGATTTCCTCCCATTCTGAGGTCTCATGGTAAACAACACCGGCTAAATCGCGTTCGTAGAGCTGCAGAAAATCATTGTCATACTTGGATTGCTTAGAAATGGCTGAAACTTGCCCGATTATGGCATTAAGTCACCAACAGAGTGGTGCAGCAAGTTCCAGAAATGGTCTTCTGTTTTCAACGGTGAAGGATTGCTTGTCTCTACTGAAGCGTCTTTTTGAGGCTGCTGTGCCGAGAACCGTAAAAAATGAGGATGAAACACACGGTTTACTTAGACGTCAACTGAGAAGAGAGAATTGTGGTGATTGCCGAGTGAATAAGCACCTCACAGGATTGTCGGTTTTTCCTCCTTCATTTCTTTCACATGCTTCCTTAAATGTGAACTGTTGGAGGTGGACCGCTGGCTGTCTGGCGGACTGGCTACAAATTACCCGTCTGGTATTGAAGACTGCATGACGCTTTGCAGTCGCCATAGCCTGTACATCAAGCTCCCTTCCAATGTCTTTTCCTATTCAGTCCCCTTCCCTCCGTTTCAACCCTCTTTTATGCTACGCAATCATCCACAAGGGTCAGTTTTTTAGTTCCTTTCAACACCTGGCAGCTCGAATACCGGCTAAGCTGTAGAATGCCATGTTGCATCCCTTGCTGATCAACTGAAATGTCACCATCTTGGTCTTCCTACGAGTCACCGCACCTTTGACCATCAGGCTTAGATGCCTTCATTCCAAGATATCAAAGCGTACTGACCAACTAGCTCAGTGAAGATGAAGGCCCTTCTCGAAGCACCTTTAAAGGTAACCGCAGTCTTAGGCAGGCTGTAGCGTTGAGCATATTCCAACAAGTTCGGCACACCCTGGAAGAGGTTATAAGGCAGAGAAGTTATGCACAAACAATATCTCCGCATTAGCTGAGGGTGTCGCTGTCGTTCCCTTGGCATTTTAACTGGAATACTTTTTGAGGTGTCTCTTATGAACTTAAGAGAAATTTGCCATAGTTGGTTAAACTTCCGTTTTAGCATGACCTTAACACTACGGGTCACCAGTTATTTCAAAAGTTTATTATCATAAAGGTATTTTTTATTCATAAAAAACCCCAACTCTCCACTAACTGTTAAATTTTGTTTGATGCTGTGAAATGTCTGGCACCAAAAAGAGCTGATGCCTACAAATGACTAAAAATGAGCAATTTTACTAGCAAGTAAATTTATTGAGCTTTCAAAGACATTTTTAGATGTTGAATGAGATGTTTGTTAATTTGGTACGCTCTTTCCCAGTGTCACATATACGTGACACACGTGGATACTGTTTAAAGCGAATTGTGTGATGTGGCTCAGGTGGCATCAAAGTTTCCGCCCTTCATTCAGGTTATAAAACAGTAACTAAACTGGTTCTTTTAGTGGTGCAGATGTTGGCACCAAGTAGATACAATAAGACCTCTAGATGGGTTTTGGAGGTCCAGATTTTCATTTCTAGCCGTGCTAACCTAGCAAGACACTGTCTTGCCACGAATCGTATGTGCTGAGAGACCTCTCCATTAGGTGTAAACGACCTAGCCTTGACTATTTTTCCTCCTCTGCAAGATTATCGCCCAACTATCTCCTTCTCTCGCCTTCCTCTTACGGAACCGTATAAGAGGGAGATGCTATCAAGAGAATACCGAGGATGCGAATAAGGTACTTTCTGACACTCCTTTACCCACCCTCTCATCGAATAATATGGCTCAAGAGTTCTTTTTAGGGATTAATTGCTAGAAAAATATAAAGTTCTGCGTTGACTTCTAAGGGTAAGTTTAGTGGAAACGCTCCATTGCTTTTATCGAGGTGGCATTCAGCACGGTCGTCATGATCTGCTGATTTAACGAGAACACGTAAGACCTTATCAAAGAGGATCGAGAGCCTCCTTGGTAGTGAAGTCTCGATGAGGTCTTTCCATCCATCCATCCATCTACCCTGTATCCATCCTGTATCCATCCATCCATCCATCCATCCACTCTCCTAATTCGAACCAATTTGGCAATTTGGGAATGATTGCCGGTTTAAAGGCACCAAGTGGGTGCATGCCAACCTCTGCACTTCTCCCTGGCTGGAGTGACACATGGATGGAATCTAATGAATGGATTCGATGTCTTTGAAGACCATCCCGTTTAAAGTAAACAAAATGTTCTGTTAAAAGTCGCATATCATTCAACCCAGACGCTGTCCATATCTTCCTCTCCATGTCTGACTGATAAAAACATTATTTGAAGCAGAAGATGAACGGAATGTCGCATTGTCAAAAATTAAAGTGTGCCGGATTAAAATAACTAATACTTATTTTTAAAATTCTCCGAAAAAAAGCCACAAATTCTACATCGTTTCTTTTGTATTTTAAATCAGAAATAAAGACAAGCATGCCGAGGAGGGGGGGGTGGGGAGTCTATGTGCCAATTGTAACTATAGACTGAAAAACCGATATTTCCTTAAAAATTTTGCATGATCCGTGTGTATTTAGTTAGAAAATAGTTCATAATGAAAATGGAAAACCCAAAATGTACAGCTTTGATTTTGTTTACGGTATTCTAGGTTAAAATTCGCCTGGGGGGCGTCGTGAGGGACTAATTAGCTTGAAAGAGGAGGAGGGCGAGGAGGAGCACGGCATGTAACGCGTTGGAGAGTATGACAGTCGAGATTAATTATGCATGCAGAAGGCACACGAGGGAAATCTTACTACCCCAGAGGCGAGGTGACCTCACAGTTCTTTCACCCCGCCTCAAAGCTGGTTTAAGGTCATTCTAGGGAGGGTCTATCCATCGCCTGGTTTGTCGTTCAGCTAAAATGAATAAATATTTAACCTTTCACACAAGTAAAACGCTTTTTTATGAAAAAAGCAACAAAGTTGGCTCAATTTCTTCAGTCGTTAATTATGAAGAATATGAGTATGTGAAATTGTAAAAATTCTTCAGGCCAAAACCGGGAATAGGTGATTCAAGGTCATTCCCAAAAATAGCGCTCTTGTGGACACAATGCGGTCATCAGATCTTGAGGACTGAAAATGTTTACAAGCTAATGTGTTCTATTTAATCTCTCAAGGAAAAATTGTAAGCTGATTACCCAGGATCAAACATACCGCATGTCAAACATTGCCTCACGGGAGTGATTCTTGACCTGTCGGTTAAGATTCGTCTAACCATTCCGAGATGCTGCAGCTGAGCGGTTCAGTGGAGCGACTATCTACGAGTTTCAGTTGTACACGTTCGTTGACAAGACACTTTATTCGCCAACTTATACTCTTCCGTGGGGTGCCATCACTGTTGTTCCCTGTTTTGAATGACAGCAACTGAGGTGAGTTGGACAGGCTTG